AAGACTTTGTGTATATTGGGGGAAACCAGTATTTCATGTTAAAATATAAACAAAAGTAGCCAAAAGTAGCAGCATATTTTAGGAAAAAGCACAAAGTAGAGATGAGTAATTCATATTAATGTGAGATTACAGTTTGGGGGCACAAATGGTAGGTAGAATCATGAATAGTTGAGGGTTAATGTGACATATTGCTGCACTGTCTATATATTTGGGTTGCATAATTGAGAAGGAACTCTTCAACAACCTCACTTACCCCAGACAGGGCCAAGAACTAGTGAGTAAACCAGAAGGCATTTGAACTACAGAGTCTATATCCTAAAGCTGGTATACCTTACCACAGTGGATTCTAGCTTTTTTATTCTCACTCAAACGTATGTATATGTATATGTATATATGAGAACTACAAAAGGCCATAAATATTCAAAAAGTTAGTTGTATAGAACCCTTTGATGGGGAGAAAATAGCCAAAACTGATTCTAAAATTAACATGCAAAATTAAAAATTTTTATTGTTTCTTTAGTCACCATTAACTTGCTTTTACTTCTTAATAAACTTTATAAAATGGCCTTTATAAAATAGAAGGGTATAAGGCAGACATCTACATTAGCCAGCTATGTTAAGTCAAGCTTTTACTATATATAGTAATGCTTTTAGGAACATAATTAAACCTATTCCATTTTGGACTCTAATAGGTAATTGTGTTTTATAATTGTTATTTTTAGTGACTACACATTCACAAAGCTGTAATTAGCTGAACAAATACCATGATGTTTAGGGCTTATTTAATTAATCCTGGAGGTTATTAGCGCAAATCCTGAAATAGAAAACACAGTGATGGTACACAATTAAAAAAAACTGAAACAGCATACATAAAATCAGTATTGGCAGTGACCATGGTAAAAACATTTTATAACATGCCTACGCTGTTGTCTTTTGCAGGGATAGCAGATAGGTTTTATTTTTTAAATGTTGCTTAGATTACCTTGTTGAAAAGATCTCTAAGTGTGGCATATAGTGTGGTAGTAAATGTATGGTCTGGGCCCAGGACTTGGGAGTGGCAGCCCATATGCCGAGTATTTATTATTGATGCGTAATAGAGCTTATATACATTAAAATGCAAGTATACTATTTGCAAAGCTAATGATCTACATGTTTTTGAATATTCCAATTTCTGAAAACATTGGACAGAAAACTTAGAGGTCATTAACACTAAAAAATAAATATATTGAATAATATCACAGTCAAGTCAACAGCCTATAATTGAAGTGTAAAACAGAAAAGCAGTGAAAACCAGTTAAAGTGGTTGTTTGATATAGGTCTGAGATACATACTTGATTCACTTAATGCGGCACATGCTTTTACACTTCTTTTAGCAAATGGCAGAAGGTGATTACATCTGTAAAATCTAATCCCGTCTTAAAATATTTCCCGAATCCTTTCAGACATAGAGCAGTTAACTTACTTCCCTCAACTCTATCTTTGTACCCTTTACCCCAAATCAGTAGAATCTGTGTCATCAATGAGTGGCATATAGCTTAGAGGCCACATTCATTGGCCTACATTTAATTTCATAAATCCCTTCATCTTAAATGATAAACAGGCCCAGAGAAGGCCACAGTCAGCCACTCCAATGACTTCTAGCAGAACACTTCACTAGTGGTTGAGTGTGGCAAGCAGAAAAGAGTTAATCAGTTGGTTTGCAACTGTTAATGTAGTTCTTAACTCAGATTGGCTTAGTCTAGCAACATTTTTGAGGTGGATGTGCTATTTTAACGATTAATTTGAAAATTGTAATGGGGTATAATATAGTAGTCAAATCTTAAATGTTCAGCTGGATGTTTTTACACACCATGTAACCGTCAATCTGGTGAAGATACGGAACACTTCTAGAAGTAGCCCTTCCCTTTCCAGTCAGTACTCTCCCATCCCTACAGGTACTGTAATTCTGACTATTACTATATGGTAGTTTCGTCTTTTCATGTCCATCATATAAATGGAATCATATGGAATGTCTTCTGAGTCCAGCTTCTTTTGCTATGTTTGTGAGGTTTATCCACTTGAATGTAATTTTTTTGTATTACCATACTTTTGTGTAACTCTGTGTGCTTTTGGTACAAAGAATTCTCACATTGATGTCACTGAGCTTTTCCAGTTGTTAACCTTTTTAACTCCTTGAAATCAACCTCAAGCATGATCTTCCATCACCTCTAAGTACTCCAGTGTGTATTTCCCATTCACAAGGACACTTCTCCATCACTAGCGTAAAACACTCAAATTAGGAAATTGGCATTGATCCAACACTATCATCTAGTCTGCAGATCCCATTTACATTTTGCCAACTCTCCCAACTATGTTTCCTTCCTTGTCCAAGATCCTTTTCAGGAATGTGTGTTACTTGTTAGCTGTCTTGTCTTCAGTGTGAACGTGTATCAGTCTTCTACATCCTTTATATTTTTGGAGTACAGCCTTATCTTCGGTACATTCTGTAGAATCACTTTGGGTCTTATGGTTTCATATGACTGGGAGCAGGCCATATATCTTTTTTTTTTTTTTTTTTTGGTAACAGTTCAATTGAGATATAATTTATATATCACACAACTCACCCATTTGAATTTTGCAATTCAGTGATCTTTAGTACATTCACAAAGCCGTGCAATCATTTTTATCACTCAAAAAAAGAAAAAAAAAAACAACTCTATATACTTTAGCACTCCTAAACCTCCCGTGTTCCAGCCCTAGGTAACAACTAATCTATTTTCTATCTCTAGATTTAGCTATTTTGGACATTTCATATCAATAGAATCATATAATATGTGGTCCTCTATAACTGACTTCTTTTACTTAACAATGTTTTTAAGGTTTATCCATGTTATAGCATTTATGAATACTTCATTCCTTTTTATTGTTGATCATACGCCTAAGAGTAGAATTTCTGAGTCATATGACTAGCACTTTATGTCAATTCTGATTTTTCTCCATTCTCATTAAAACTTGCTATTGTCTGTCTTTTTTATTCTAAACATCCTTTTTTACAGTAGAAAAGAAAAGTTTTATTAGAAGGGAAAGTACACTTCCAGATGTGGAAGCAGGCCTGAGCAAGAGAAGCGTGGCTCAAAAGGCTCTATTTGTGGTTTTTATATGCATTTATGTAATGACTAATAAGTTATGTTGAGCATTTTTCCTGTCCTCGTTGGTCATTTGTGTGTATTTGGAGATATGTCTCTCCAAATCCTTTACCCACTTACAAGTTAGGTGGTCTTTTTGTGTGAGTGGATTGTAAGAGTTCTTTACATATTATGGATACTAGGCCCTTATTAGATTTGATTTGCAAATATTTCTCCCATTCTGTAGGTTGTCTTTTCACTTTTGTCAGAGTGTTCTTTGAAGCACAGCAGTTTTTCATTTTAATTTGTACTTGTGCTTTTGGTGCCATATCTAAGAAACTATTGGCTAGTCCAAGTTCAAAAGATTTTTGTATATTATAGGAGTTTTATAGTTTCATCTCTTACATTTAGGTCTCTGGCACATTTTGAGTTAATATTTGTATTTGTTATGCGATAGGATGTTCCTTGTGGATATCTACCTGCCTCAGCTACTTTAGTTGAAAAAACTATTCTTTCCCCATTGGTTTGTTTTGACATCCTTTTCAGAAACAAGTTGACCATAAATGAAGGGTTTATTTCTGTATTCTCAAATCTATTGCATTGATTTGTATGTCTTGATTTTAGTATCACATTGTCTTTTTTATTGTTGCTTTGTAGTAACTTTTGAAATTGGGAATTGTGAATCCTTCAACCTTATTCTTTTCCAAGATTGTTTTGGCTATTTTGGGTCTCGTGAATGTCCAAACGAATTTCAGAATTGGCTTGTCAATTTCTTCAAAGCTAGCTGTGATTCTGATAGAGATTTTGCATTGATGCCATAGATCAGTTTGGGGAGTAATACTGCCATCTTAAGAATATTGTCTTCCAGTTCATGAACAAGATGTGTCCATTTATATAGATCTTTAATTTCTTTAAACATGTTTTGTAGTTTCACAGTAAAGTTTCACACATATATTTATACAGGACACACACATGAACTCACATATAAACCCATATATATACACATGTGTGCACACATACAACTTCTAGAATAATTTAGCTTGGGTCATAGTTACTGTTAAATAAGTGTTAATGTTGTTATGTTTTCTATATGTCCTTAACACTTTTGGGGAAGGTGGATTAAAATAGAGAAATAATTAACAGAAAAGCATTTAACATTTACTTTCAGACTATTTTACACAAAAGAGACTTAAGCTACTAAATCTTTTAATAGAGATCACAGGTAAAAAGTTCAGATATAATGAATGTCAAGTTTAAACTAGCAGAAAACCATATGTGTATATGTTTAGCATGATTTTATTTTAGTAAAAATCTATATTAAGTGATATGCATGGAAAAAATAGAAGGAAATGCATCAAAAAATTAAATGTTTATTTCTGGCTAGGAGAATTATGATAGTTTACATTTTTAGTTTTTCTCATACTCTCTTTTGAACATACATACATACACAAACAAAAAATGTGAGTTATTTTTAATAGCATAGTAAGCATGTATAGATATAACTGATTTACTACACTCTGAGGCTTTTTTCTTCATATAAAATGAATTATCTGCTTTGTCTACTTTGTTAGGCTCATTGTTATGAGGTTATAAAGAGACAAAAAATATATATATTTTTGTAAATTATAAAGCCCTGTGGAAATAATGAAAGAAAATACACTCCTCTTTAGAAATTACGAGAAATCATCTTTATCCATTGGTAAAGCTTAAATAACAGTCTTTGGGTTGTTTCTAAGTTGGTGCTGGTGTTTTAATAGCATTGATGGTCCAACTTTTAAGATATTTTAAGGAGTTAACATTTATCCTGACAAACTTCTTAAAGTACTGTTTCTGTTACTAATTTATTGGGAATTGAAACAGTATCTAATGGCATTGTTCAAATAATTTCTCTTCTAGGCACGGATGGGCAGAAGCCTTTGCAGGTATCAGAAGTTCACACATCAAATATATCTGCCCACATGCGTAAGTATTTTTAATCTTTAGGCTTGTGATTCAGAATTGGGAGAGGAACAATTGTGATTTTTGTTGAGAAATTTAAAATAATGCTCTCTTGGAGGTTAGTGAGTTCACAGCCAGGAAAATTAAATATACAAACATCTGTTAAGTTCTAAGGATATCTATGAGGTATCTATGAAAGGGATTTACCTGTCAGGTTTGTGAGAACTCTTTACTGTACTGAAAACACTCTTACACTTTATTGATTAGAGGCAATGTGATGAACTGTGGAAAGAACACAGACTTTGGAGTCTGATAGATTTGCTTTAGAATTCTGAAAGTGTGGATATCGAAAAGAAACCAGTAGTGTATGAGCAAACTCAGAAAAACAGTAAATTGGGCAGTTTTTAAATCAAAAGGTTGCCGAGAAGCAGTAGTCATGGAGAAGACAAATGGTAGTAGGTATGTGCTAGTAAGTTAGTAAATCATCCTCAGAATGGTAGGAGCAGTAGAGGTGATAAATATGAAAGGGAATGGAAAGTGGAAAAGTATCTGAGATTAGGTAAGAAAACAGTCTTGAAATAGAGGCTTTATCATGTTGGAATTTCTGCTCTATCGTTATTGGCCCAAAATTGAATTTGGTTTAAGGCTATTTCCCAACCTAGGAGAGTTTATGTTTTCAAGGAAATTTTGAGAAGATTTTTAACCTCTAAGGTAGACTTGTTTCATGAGTCAGGAAGATAGTGGTGAGATGTAGTTATAGTGTATTTATTTTTCTTTTATATCTAGATTTATTTTTCTTTCCTTTTATGTGGCACTGTGAGTTTCAGGTTGTCTAGCACATTTTTCATTGCAGACTTGAATTGGGTGTAATGGACACAAGGAAAATGTTTTTTATTTGCAAAACTTAGTTCTTTCCAGCTGCTGGCCTGTCTTCAGAACACACTTGGAGGGGAGGGTATAGGAGAACAGAATTGTATAAGTGTGGATGCAGTGAAACAGCTCACATGTTAAAATTGTAGCATACAGTTTTATGTAAGCCTCAAATAATCATGTATTAACTGATCAAATTTATCAGGTTTTATGTTTTGTTATATAATTCTTATTTTGCTGTTTTTTTTCCCCATGTAGACCAGTTATGCCAGTAACATTAAATATGAACATGGCTATGCCTGCTTGGTAAGTAAGAATTTACCTATTCAGTAAGAACTTTATACTTAATTTTTAAAGCAGAAGTGCTTTTGCATATAGCAATTTTTAATTAGCTATTTTTAAGTCGCAAGGTTATATAATTCACTTTAAATTTAACCTTTAATTATTTAAGTTTTTATATTTTAAATTCAGGGGTAAACAAGGAGCTGCACCAACATTTAGAGAAACTAGAGAGAACGGGTGGAGAGAAATACTACAGAAAATATCTCCTACTGCTTTAACCTTTACTGATTTCAGTAACCAAACATTTGAATGACCTCATGTGGCAATCAATCAGATTTAGCCAGGACCTCCTCACCCTTCTAACTTCTTCCCTTTCTGGAGAGCTGGTGAATTTTTAAGGAAACCATTTCCTTTTGAACCTTCTCAAGATATTTGCACATTCCCTATATGCTTTATAGTCAGGAAGTAGAGTCATTTCTTCATTCCTCTGAGCCACTTCCAGGCTGACTTTTTTTCTGCTGCTCTCTGAGGCTCCTGCCATCATGTCTTTGCAAAAATGATGACTTTGACACCTGATTAATATTTTCCTTTCCACTCTATTTCCTGCCACCATTGTGTCTTTTGGGTGACTATGGGATCCAGTGTAAATGGTCCATTCACAACCTTGGTTGGTTTGTTACTTCCTTGGCTCTCTCTTCCCTAGTGACATTTTCTTCTCTCGACATCAACAGTCATTTCTTGAGTCTTGTCATCTGGAACTGTCCTATCTCTGAAGTGACTTAATTCAAACCTGATATTAAGGATAATTATTCATCTTTTTGAGTTTGCTTTCCTGTTTCCACACTATTTGTTCTTAGACCTATTCCAGCCTACTGTCATCCTCTCTGCTGCTTCCCACCCATCTCTAACCCAGCCCTGCACTTTATCTACTATAGAGTCCTTGGCAAGTGTTACAAGTTCCTGCCTTCTGTGGCCTTTGGTTCTTTCACCTTCCTTCTCTGGCAAAATTTCCATACAGAACCAGAATTTCTACCTAATATGGCTAAAGAACATAACGAAAGCATATAACCTGATAGAGAAGTAGAAAGGGCCAAAGGACAGCTTCCCTTGGTCTCTGGTTTGAGGTATCTATAATATATGATGAAAAAGTTTTGCAGAATTTGGATAGAGATCAGTAGCTCTATTCCATTGGATTGACTTATGATGCATTAGAAGGGGAAATGAATAACTGGAATTTATTGCAAACTTAGGGATGTCAGCTAAGATTCCTGCTTGGGTGCAAGATTGAACTAGATAATTTTTAGATATTCTTACCCTAGAATTATGTGGCACTGTGACTTTTTAACATTAGAATCTATATCTAGTTGGGATGGAAGGAACTTAAGGAATGTCACATTCACACGTTTAAGTTCATTGTTTGGCCTCTGTAAACATTTTAATTTGAGTTTTTTATTCTAGGGAATACATTTGGTCGGCTCTTTTTATCCCAAATACCATTAGTTTAGTAAAACATACCAAGAGTAAATATTCTTAGAATCAAATTATTCTTTTAATTTTGTCTTATTTTCCAGGTTTGATATTATTGGGCTTTCACCAGAGTCACGGGAGGATGAACCTGGAATTAAACAGGCAGCAGAAAATGGTAAGTACGGAATAGTTTTTTAAAAAGACAGAAGCATTCTTAAATATTGATGTTGATGAAATATTACACAGTCATCTGAACTCAAGAGGTGGTGCTGTTTCCTTCTCTGATCGCTCTAACTCATTTGCCATGATGGCTACGTGGACTCACTGAAAGGTGCTCAGTGAAGGTGAGGTGGATGGGGAGAGATGGCCTTTTTCAAATTTCAGTTCTGTCAGATACATAATTTTGCTTTGATTTACATATGGAGAAAATAGCAGAATGTTTAATAATTGTGGCCAGTTATCTTCATTAAGGAGATTTGAAATAAGGATGAAAATAATGATATAATAATGTAATGATACATAAGAAAATTATATTAATGGTTAGTTTTAGTGTGATAAGAATAGAGGCCACTGATTGAATACTTAGCTATTAAATGAACTAGGTAATTTTTATAAATCATCTCATTTAACATGCCTGTGAAATAAGTATTAACTCTACAGAATCTCCAAAGTCTGTTTTCTGGTTACTGTTTCATGCTCCCATATGAACATGATAATTCTGTTTATTTTTTGGATGAAAGCATAAAGAACACAGACTTATTAGGAGAAATTTGGGTTAGAAAATGCACAGAAGCATTTTTTTTCTATTACATACATGCACTGGAATGTTTACAGAGACAACATGATAACTGGGATTGACTTTAGAATACTCTGGGTGGTGACATGGCAGGCACTGATGAAATTAGCCTGGCTATGAATTGACAATTGCAGGAGTGAGATAATGTGTACCCAGGGAGTCGTAGCACACTCTATTTTTATATTTGTTTGAAAATTTCCAAAATAGCTTAAAAACCCCAAACCAGTAGGATCCTTTTTAAAAAATCTTTTTATTAAAACAACTCTTAAGAACTTTAAAACAGGGAAGAAGATGCATTCAAAACATACTGGATATTTAGGAATGTCAAACCAAGAACACTGACTTTTAGGATCATCAAAAAGTAGATCAAAGCTAGTTAGAATCCTAGAGCTAGGATTTCGTCAAAAGAAAATAATAGTGACAAAAATACGTTTTTGATTTGGGAATGAGTTGTTAGACCACGTGGAAGGTGGGAGCTAGGCCTTGCGGAGAAGATAGGTGGGCCTGGTGAGTTCTAGAGTGGGAACTTATATCCTAATGATAGAGGTGGCCTATGACATACTTGCCATTTCTTTCCTCTCCCAGGTGATGTATTATTAGAGAAAATTAGGGCCAGACTCAGAGCTGGGAAAAAAAGAAGTCCCTGTTTGAGGGCTGAGAGACTATGTTGCTGAAGAAAGAAGAGTGCTCAGGTCAGGTCCAGGGAACACATTTGCTCCACAACTGACTGCCGTCACTGCAGTTAGTTAACTTTATCTCAGCTGGTGGTATAACCATGGGGAGTAAAGCTTTGCGACACTCAGTGAAAATGGTCCCAACAGCTCCCTGGCTGGCTAGCAGCTAACATTCACCAGGTCCCAATGGCAGCCCTCCCTCCTCAGAGCTGGGCTGTTCTGCCACTTCTGCATCTTCTTTCCAACTGAGACCGTGCAGTCTCCCCTAAATAAATCCCTCATACTTCTCAATATTTATTTCTTAAGCCTTCTTTACTGTTCTCTAGCGCATTTCTCCCATGCTTTGGTCAGGGCACCCCTACCTTTTCACACCATTGCTAACGAAGAACTAAACTTTATATAAAAACAAAATAATTTTTAATTTGGGCATTTGGTTTTTTTTTTTTTGGTAGTATTCTAATAAAAGCATATTTTTGGTTTTTTATAAAAAGGAATATAAAGTTGGAAATATTTATCTTAAAAAATGAAATTCTTCCATATATGTCAAAAATGAAAGAAGATAAATTTGTAAAAGGTATAGTTATTCCAGAAACTCAGGACTGATGATAAATAAAAGGAAATTCTAGGAGTTATCAAGTGTTACATTTAATTATGCATGCCAAAGTATTTTGCAAAAGGAAAAGAGCTCATTTGATTTTTTCCCCCATACCATTTACTGGCTATAGGAAAATTTAATAGTGTTTTTTTTTTTTTTTTTTTTTTTTTTTTTTAATAATGAACTGTTGACACAACTGTAAATCATAAACCATGTAAACTCTCTTAAGTACTTAAACTTTTAAAATCACAACTTTTAGGTACAAACGCCTATGGTTCATTGAAGAGAGGGAAATATAAAAAACATATGAGCAGAATTGACCATAGATAAAAGAATATCCATATACTGATGAAAGAACTGTTGTTTACAAATTATATAACAAACAATAGAACAGGTTAAGCAGCACCTGCAAAATCTGAGTTTTATATTGAAAATACATTCTAATTTTGTATTTTAATAGAGTGTTTCAAATTTCTCACTTGTTTTGACCTTTAATATACTTTATGCTTCTCTGTCATTAATATTTTTTCTATGTAGATTGTATCAGTGGCCTTAATTTTGAAAGTACCGGTGATTTAACTTTCATGTTGTTTTTAGTAAAAGCCTTGATAGAGCAAGAGGTGAAGAATGGCATTCCTTCAAACAGAATTATTTTGGGAGGATTTTCTCAGGTAAGATTAAATTTGGGTGGTATGTCAGTACCATCAGCATACTTATCTAGAAGTTTGCGGTTTCAGTCCTTTTTCTGTGGAGGAGTCCCTTTTTTTTTTTCTGGAAGATGTTACAGACGCTGATATACTACTTATCTTTCATGCTGAGTTAAGCTTGAACGGAATAATTGCTTTTCTAGTTTTCTCCCTTCAGCAATAGCCTTTACTTTAGAGACTGTCTTAAAAATCAATTTATTTAGTAAATTGATTGGAACTTAGAATGTTAACATAATGTACCCCTTTTAAACAAAAACTCTAAATACAGATATAAGTACCCTGTCTAATTGGAGACCACTGATAGGAATAGTGAGGTGGAAGGCGAGAGAATTTCTTCTCTCTTTTTGTCACAGATTCCCACTGGTCGAGCCTTGCAGATTCCCCTACAATCCCTATAAGGCCAGATCAGAGTAGGGGCTCCCACAAAGCGACCCGTGTGCTGGGGAACACTGCTTTTCCCACCTGGGCTCTCTTTTCCCTGTAGAGGAACTAGAGGCTCAGGGGAGACCTGTCGTGCAGCCTGGGGGAGGGGCAGTGCAGTCAATGAGTGCTACTTCTCTTACCCTTCTGATGCAACCTGTCTTGGTCTCTAAGATGAGATATGATTTTATGTCTAAGACTCTTCAGAGGAAAAGATGGTAATTAATTCAGAATATTTCTAAGGCATTTGTAAGTACAGCAGTTAACTTAATTATGTCTGGACTGACTGGGTAGTTGCTACATTCTCACAACGTAGAGAACATATGTCTTTAGTGTAGAGAATCATGTGCTTTAGGACACTGGAGTGTATATTGTTTGCCTGATTTGATTTGATATTGGCCACTCAGTTTGGTTTTTTATGGACATTATTAATAACAAGAAATCTTTTAAGTTGCTCTTAGCAGAGGACGTGTGCCATTGACTTTCCCTCCTTGTCTTTCCAGGGAGGAGCTTTATCTTTATACACTGCTCTTACCACACAGCAGAAACTGGCAGGTGTCACTGCCCTCAGTTGCTGGCTTCCACTGCGGGACTCATTTCCACAGGTAGCCTGATTATTTAAGCAACATTAAATTACTAAGATAAGAGACAGCTGATAATATTGGGGAGAGGGTCAGTTTTTTTTAATAAACTTTATTTTTTTTAGAGCAGTTTTAGGTTCACAGCAAAATTGAGTGGAATGTAAGAAAGTTCCCGTGTGTCCTGCCTCCACACACGTATAGCCTGTCCTACTGCTGCAGCGCAGGGGAGTGTGGTTACAATCGATGAGCCTACACTGACACATCATTATCACCCAAAGCCCATAGTGTACATCAGGCATCCTTTTGTAAAAAGAATTTTCTTAGATTTTTATGAGGTATTACTAGGCTTTATGGGTATACTACACTGTCTTCATTGTGGATTGCATAGAAATCTTAGATTTGAAGTGTTTGATAACATTGTAAGATACATATAAAAATTGGAACTTTTTAAACAAATATTTTTGAACGTTTAGTATGATCACTGCTTAATAGCAGAATTTTGCTATAAAACATAATTTCTAAGTATTCAACAGTGTAAAGCGATATATAGTGTACATAGGAGATGTAGACATTATTTTCAAATTCACCTTTAAATCTAGGGTTTTTTCTTGTCACTATATAGTATTGGTATCTTGCACATAGTTAGTGCTGTTTATTAACCAGCTTATGTAAATCAGTCAAATAAGAGCTGAGAAGAACATGGTTCAGCTAAAATATACCTTTCGTATAGGACAATGTGAATATACAAAGAATAATTAAGATACAATCTGTTTTAAGGAACCAGTTCATTGGGAAAACGTGACAGGGCAATCATATGTCCTATAAAAGTTTAAAGAGATGTGGAGAGTATAGGGATGAAGTAATTTTATTTCTGTAGCCACATATAACCTATAATGTAAGTAATAACATGTATGTATGTGTCTGCATTTTAAAATGCGGGGCATAATGCTCTATACATTCGAATAAGTAATAATAGTTTTGGTTTTTTGCAGGGTCCTATCAATGGTGTTAATAGAGATATTTCCATTCTTCAGTGCCATGGAAATTGCGACCCTTTAGTTCCCCTAATGTTTGGTTCTCTTACTGTCGAAAAGCTAAAAACATTGGTAAATCCAGCCAATGTAACCTTCAAAACCTATGAAGGCATGATGCACAGTTCATGTCAACAGGTATTTATTTTTAAATGTTTGGAAGCAGTGGCTATAGAGACATAATTTGCAACTTTTTCCATGTGATATTATTAAGGTGAATAACACTTGACTGCTTGAGGGTTTAAAGGGATTAATGAATTCTCACTGAATCATAAGTTAGCAGGACTTAGATCAAAGTTTATTCAATTTAATTCAACAAACGTTCACGGATTTCCTGTTACATGCAAGCATTGTACATAATTCAAAGACTAAAAGAGATTCTCTTTTATTAAAATTTAAGAAATTAAAATTAAAAATGTATTAGGGAATAAAGCTATATATCCAGGTAACTGATATAGAAAGCAGAATGTGATGTGTGTTAATATTAGAAGTTTTAAAAAAGTTATTTGAAAAACTGAGGAGAGTGAGATTAATTTTATCTTAGGAGGCATGGAGATCGTGATGAAACAGCTAGATTTTGAACACTGGGTAGGGTTTGGATAGCAAGTGTGCAGAGGAAGGACTGTTGGATTAGACTATAGACTTAGGAAAAGCAAGGTATCATAGAACCAAGGCATAGAGAGGAGAGACTCAATTATAAAGAGCTTTTATGTTGTGCAGAAGATGGACTTGTTCTCTAGGCAGCAGAAAGCTTTTTTTTTGAATAAAAGCAAGATGTAATCCACCTTCTGGAAACAAGAAGGAGATTCCAGTAGGATTTAGTGACTAATTCTAAGGAATATAGGAAAGAAGGAAGTATCAAAGAGGCCTTAGATTTCTAGCTCAGATGACTAACAGGATGCCATTTATAAAGTAGGTACAAGGAACAGTTTTAGGGTAACAGAAAGGAAATAGTACTGAGGCTAGTGAACATACTGAGATTGATGTGCCCCATGATCAGGATGGGAAGTACTTGGTTGAAGCTCAAGCTTATAATAGAGACTTAGCATAATTACCAATATCAATGATCAGTGAAGAATTACCATGGGAGGATATCATGAGAAAAAAAGCCAAGGGATACAACTTTGGGGGAGTTAAAAGGAGTTAGGGATGGAATGAGAGTACAGGAGGAGAGAATTTCTGAGTTGTAGGGAACAGTATCCATTATTCAAAGAATGATTAAGGGGAAATAGGTCAGGAAGAAACTATCCAATAGTAAGCCGTCTGTGACCTCAAATATTTGGGGAGATACAGCTAAACTGCAGTGGATTATGTGAAGCAAACGGGGAAATGAGGAAGTAAAAGTAGAGAGTAGGAAGGTTCTTTTTAATCGGATAAGGAAAGAGATTCCTGGGGGTGGGGAGGAGGGAGAGAGAAAATGCGATAAAAAAAAAAAAGGTGGTCCTCGATAGGGGAAAGCCTTAGGGGGATTGTATAATTAAGTACTGAAATGGGTAGTGGTTGCCTTGAAAGAGGAGAAGAACACTTTTGAATCAAGATAGAAGAGCATGGGTGAATGTAAACGAGGGTTGCTCAGAGAAGAGAGTATTTGAGAGCTCACATTAGATCCTCTTAATCTAAAATATATAAGTAGGAAATGTCACTTAATAAGAATTAAGGAAACCTGGATAGATTTGGAGGCTTGAAAAGGCCTAGGATAAAATTTGATGGCTAAGCATTGAGGCAGTCCAAGTTAACATTGTTTTGCAGCTGCTCAGCTTAGCTAATTATTTTGACAGGAAAGCAGGTAGTAATATAATTTATCCAGAAAGACAAGGAGGCCTGAGATGCTAGGGTGTTATTGAGAATATAGCTGAAATTGTCCTGAAGTACTGAATCCAGAAAGGGAAGTAGTCTGGCACTCTGAGCATCCAAGAGGGACTGAGGGTCTAGAGCAGTGGTTTTCAGAGTAGGCTTTGCATCACAAGGACCCCGGAGTTTAATAAACACACAAGACACTCAAATTCCAAACTCAGTGATTCTGATTCAGTGCACTGGGGAATTGGTGGTGAACTCAGGCATCTTTGTTTGTATGGAGTTGTTTTTAAAATAAAAGTTCCTTGAAGAAACAAAAACTTACGGCCCAGGAGTAAATTTTGCATCAGATAAATGCTAATAAAAGTAAAATAAAATAAAATAAAATAAAAGCTCCTCCATAGATGACTCTTTGTGAGATCACATTGGAGGACACTGGACTGAATGAAAGATTATGAGTGGAAAGTGACAAGAGATAGAACGGTAGGAGGTGGTGTCACAGGAAACTTGTAGGACTTTAGAGTGTTATAAAATAAAGCACTTTTGTGTTGTGGATTTCTTTTTTAGTGACTAAATTATAAGGCTGAAAGTTCTCTGTGTTGCTAATTTGTGGGTCTGTGAGGCTAAGCCTTGAAATGCTACATACGATAGGAGGAAATGTGTTTGGGGGAAGTGGGAAAACTGAGCCAGATGCAGGAGTCCTCTAGGAAAGTTTTTCTATAACAGATATTTGGTATATTCATTTTCAGATCTCTCTAGGCCTATCTTAGGTACATGCTCTCTTTCTAATGGTTGGTTATATGTAAAATCTTATGAAAGACACAAAATATTTTATGCTATGGATTTAGTATTTCATTCTCCTGAGAGAATGTCAAAAGCTTTTCCATGGATATGTAGTTGACAATAATTGTATACTTCCTGAAACTTCTCGGTATAGGTTTTGTTACTTGTAAACCCCTTCATTTCCTCGTATTCCCATGTTTTATTTGTTCAAGTGTAGCAAAATGCAGACCTTTTTCATGGGAGTAGATTAATAAATGGGAGCTATCATTGAATGTACAATAATAATAATCATAGGTAATGTTCTCAAATATCTATTGGAGCCTCATTTCTCTAAGACTTATTTCACTGTAGTTAAAATGTGGTTTCAACTTACCTATGCACATGATGGATTTAGTTAGTGGCATTTTAGTGGGGATTTAATTTCTGATTTGCGTAACCGTTTATTAAATTTTATTCCAAACAGGAAATGATGGATATCAAGCAATTCATTGATAAACTCCTACCTCCAGTTGATTGATATCACTAAGGGGCCTTGTGTAGAAGTACACACCAGCATCACTGTAGTATAAACCTTTTCTCGTGTCCGATCTTGGAACTTGTAATGTTCGCAGTGTTAAAATGTTTGCAAATACACCACCAGAGACACAGACTGAATACTGTCTCCTTGTGGGAAATTTATGGTCTTTTAAGTTTCTATTCATGTATTTGTATAATATGATCCAGAATATACTAGTATTAAAATAGGTGAAGCAGCCACCGCCACTTTCTTTTTCCCAAATGTAATTCAGCAAAATAAAAAAATTACAACCAGATGTTTTATTACTTCATTTGAAAATTATTGGTATGCCTAATGAAAATGTGTTCAGATATAAATGAGCAGTTAAGATAAACAATTTATGAATGCTGTGACTTAGTCTATGGACTTATTCCAAAATTACTCGGTCACCACGCAGTATCTGTATTTTTATATGTGTATTCATATATGCTTAATGATTATAATATATAAGAATAAGGTGTTATGACATTATTCCTAATAATAGGGATAATTCTCCTACATGTCAATAAAGAGTAAGATTGCTCTCTTCAATTAATGGCCCTTTTATTTTGGGGATCGGCGTTTTCTTCCCGTTATAACTTTTTAATATAATTCTTTTTTCCTCTCTAGAAAAGAAATATGTTTTTTCTTCCTTTTTATCCTTCATACCAGACCAAATATTGCCTCCTTGCCATAGACATATGCTGTCAACACATACTGTAATTTGACATTCTGAATCACAGACATAGTATTTAAAATGTATTAAACTTAAATAAAAAAACCAAACATCACTTCAAACTTCCTACACTAATTTCTTAAACTATACCTTAGTCCAGAGTTAGACCTATATAGTTACTAGAATCTTCAGTCTAGGTAAGGAATAATTCTGTGGTTGTGTTTTTTTCTGTAATTAACTAAAAGAATAATTAGGTCATATTCTAGTATGTTCTGGAATATTTAAGACTGATCTTAAACAATAATTTCTAAGATTTGCTCTATGATTATTATCCTTGTTTTGTACCATTATATTTGAAATCAACTACTGTAGGAAATGAACAATCCATTAGAAAAATTTGCTTTACTTTTATCTGTCAGTGAACATTGGAAATATTCACTTTAGTCATGATTTTTTAAAAATTAGTTTTTGTGCAAATATAAAAGTAGCAATCACTTGATTTTAAATAGTCAAATTTTTTAGATTATTGGTAAAAACTATTTGAAAACAAATTTATGGGCTATAAAGGTCAGGACTCAATACATATAGCGTAGTTACCACCTACTTTATGTAGCAAAAATGTATAGTTGTTATTTCTGAACTGTTAATTTTTCTGCTGTATTCCAACTGACTACAAAATGTTAGGAATGCATCATTATAAATGGGTGCTAATTGATAATGGAAACAATTTAGTAATGGACCTATATAGACTATTAATAAGGAAGCCATACATTTAAAATTTTTAAACAATCTTTAACAAGTCATTTTGCTTTACTTTGATGATATATAAACTTGTTTCAGTTATACAAATCAATAAGATCTAATTTATGGCAAGAGATATTCCGTTTAAATGCTGTGCTGTAATGTGGGAAAATGTAAATCTTTTTCACGGTTTCTAAATGTGAAATAAAATTTAATTCTGAATTTGCCATGACTGTTCTTTTGAATGTTTAACATTTGGGTTTGCCTTGGGGTGGCTGTTTATAATGAAAAGGAGGAAAATGACACTGTAATCTCAAGAATATACATTCAAAGAAAGAAATTTGATTATGGTATGGTGGCCTGGAATGGAACCAGGCATGTGAAAAGCTTCTCGTTACTCAATTTTAACCCATTTCCTGTCTAGAAAAAAAAGTGCAGCTCGCTGCCAGTGTTAATTTTACATAAACACGCTTTGAGGCTGAATTTGAATAGTTTTCAATATGAAAATAAAATATAAAAACTGTTCTTGGAGTTATTTCTAAACAGAACTTGTCTCTAATCCTAATGTAACAGAAATGTATATGTAAATCAGATTTTTCAAATCTTTGACTAACAACTATTTGAAAACGATGTTAACATCACATGTAGGAATGCTGTTTTCTAGGATTTGACGTTTTCAGTGATAATTACTATATTTTATAAATGGAAATACCACTACTAAAAACAATGCTATAAATAGAATGCTGTCATTTGTTTCCATAGACAATTGATATACTAGAATGATGCAAAAATAATAAAAGCAAGGTATTTCATGGCCAACTTTAGGGGTAAGGTTAGGACTGTAATCATCGAGTTATCTTGGGGTAAACGCTGCAGCCACCAGTGCCACAGGCAAGTATTCTTGGAGCAAATGGGAAATTGGTTAAAAAAAATTCTCAAATTTGGTTTTCATTGTTTCTAACCTAATATTTAAGTTTTGTTTGGTGTTTCCTTTTGTCTCTTTTATGTAGGATTTTTAGTGTCATACTGGGCATACATTTTGTAAAGATTTAATTTGTGACAACTACATAAAATGGGGAAGACAGAAATGTATAGAAGCAGAGAATTTCTGTACTACTGAAGCTAAATTGAGATTGTTTAAGCTAAATTGTCATAATTTTAAAATGTTAATTGTAATCCCCAGGGTAACCACTAAGAAAATAATTTTAAAATACACAGAAAAGGAAATAAGAATGGAGTAAAAATGGTATACTAGAAAAAAATCAATCATGAAAGGAGGCAGTAATGGAAAAATTGAGAAATAAAGGTATAAGATACAGAAAAATAATACATAGCAAAATAGCAGAGTAAGTTCTTAGCAGTAATTACCTAAAATTAAATGAAGTAAACTATTCAATTAAAAGGCAGAGATCAGTAGAATGGATTTGAAAAAAGATACAACTATATGTCTACAAAAGACTCACTTTAAGCTAAAGACATAAATAGGCTGAAAGTGAAAGGATAGAAAAAAGATGTTCCATGCAAATAGTAACCAAAAGAGAGCTGGAGTGGCTATACCACATAAGACAAAATAGATTTCAAGTAAAAAAATTGCTACAAAAGAACGAGTGCATTATATAGCAATAAAATGGTCAATTCACCAAGAAGATATAGCAATCATAAACATATGCAACTTACAATAGAGTCCTAATATATATGAAGCAAAACCTGACACAATAGAGACTTCAAAAATAGAGACTTCATTAGACACTTCTTTCAATAATGGATAGAACAACCAGCCAGAAGATCAACAGGAAATAGAGGACTTGAACCAACTAGACCTAAAAGACATATACAGTACTCTTCATCCAACAACAAAAGAATGCACCTTCTTCCCAAGTGCATGTAGAACATTCTTCAGGACACACCACATGTTATGCAAAATCTCAATAAATTTAAAACGTTTTAAATCATACAAATGTTCTCTTCAACCAGAATGGAATAAAGCTAGCTATAAATAACAGGGAAACACATGGAAAATTCACAATTGCATGGAAATCAAATAACACACTCCGATACAATAAATGGGTCAAAAAGTAATCATAAAAGAAATTAGAAAACATTTTGGAACAAATAAAAACAAAAGCATAAGATTCCAGAACTTATGGACTGCAATGAATACAGAACTCAGAGGCAAATTTATAGTTATAAAAACCTACATTAATAAAAAGAAATATCTTACATCAAAAATGTAACTTTATATCCTGAGGAATTGAAAGAACAGAAGCAATCAAAACTCAAAGCTGTCAGAAAGAAAAAAATAGTAAAGATTAGATTAGATATAAGTGAATTCAAAATGAGAAAAAAAACAATTGCCTAAATCAAAAGTTAGTTCTTTGAGAAGACCAACAAAATTGACAAAACTTTAGCTACATTAAAGAAAAAAATTCAAATTACTAAAATCAGAAATTAAAGTGGAGGAATTACTACTGACCTTGTAGAAATAAAAACAATTATAAGAGAATATTATAGCAATTGTATGTTGAAAAATAAGATAACCTAGATGAAATGAACAAATTCCCAGAAGTGTACAATCTATCAAGACTGACTCAAGAAGAAATAGAAAATCTGGACAAACCTATAAGAAATTGAATGTGTAACGAAAACCTCCCGACAAAGAAAAATCCAGAACCAGATGGCTTTATTAGTGAATACTACAAAGCGTTTAAATAATTAACACTAATCCCTCTCAATGCTTTTAAAATAGAAGAGGATGGAACATTTCTATATGCCTTCCATGATGCCCGTATTACCCAGACATCAAAGCTATTCAAAGACAAAGACCAATATTCTTTATGAGTATAAATACAAAAACCTCCAAGAAAATACCAGCAACCCAAATCAAGGAGCATATTAAAAGGATTACACACTATGACCAAGTGAGATTTATATCAGGAATGTAAGAGTGGTTCAACACATAAAAATCAATCGATATAATCCACCATATTAATAGAATGAAGGTAAAATGTGACTTGATCATTTCAATTAACACAGAAAAGCATTTGACAAAATCCAACAACTATTCATGCTAGAAACGCTCAACAAACGAGGAGTAGAAGGAAACTTCGACATGATAAAGGGTGCCTACGAACCTTACAGCTAACATCATACTCAGTGGTGAAAGACTGAACGCTCTCTAAGATCAAGAACAATAGTGATTTCTGCTTTCACTATTCTATTCAAAATAGCCAGAAAAATTAAGCAAGAAAAAGAAAAAAATGCATTCAAGTTGGAAAGGAAGAAGTCAAACTCTTTTCCAGATGAAATGATCTTATTAAAGAATAAAAATAAACAACAATAAAAATATATGAGCCAGTAAACTCAGCAAATTTGCAGGATACAAGATCAACATACAAAAATAAGTTGTATTTATAAACCCTAGCAATGAACAATTTAAAAAGGATTTTAAAAAAACAATTTCATTTTCAATAGCATTCAAAGAATAAAATATTGAGGAATAAATTTAACCAAAGAAATAAAAGATTTGTATATTGAAAACTATACAATTCTATGGAAAGAAATTAAAGTAGACCTAAATAAATGGAAAAACATTCTATTTTTATGAATTGGAAGACTTAATTTTGTTAAAATGGCAATGGTAAATCTTCACAACTTTGAATTTGGCAATGAATTTTTTAGATATAACATCAAAAGTACAAGCAACAAAAGAAAACAGATAAATTGGACTTATATAACATAGGTCTGCACATCAGAGACCACTATTAAGAGATGAAAAGACAAGTCACAGAATGGGAAACAACATTTGCAAATCATACCTGATAAGAATCTAGTTTCCAGAACATATAAAGAATTCTCAACAGCAAAAAGACAACCTGGTTAAAAATTGGGCAAAGGACTTGAATAAACATTTCTTCAGATGTACAAATGGCCAACAAGCCTATTATAATATACTCAACACGATTAGTCATTAGGGAATTAAAACCACAATGAGATGCAACTTCGCACTCACTAAAATGGTTAGAATAAAAGTTGGATTAAAAACAAGTGTTGGCAAAGGTGGGAAATTGGAACCCTAGTACATTTCTGGTGGGAATGTAAAATGGTGCAGGTGCTTGTGGAAAACAGGTTGGAAGTTCTTCCAAATTAATTACCATATGACCTGGCACCCCAGGCCTAAGTACATACTGAAAAGAACTGAAAATAGGTGTTCATATAAAACTTTGTACATGAATATTCATAGCTGTACTATCCATAGGAGAGAAAATATGGAACAGTGAAAGATAAATGGAAACAATTCACATCTATCAGTTGATGAATGAATAAAAAAATGTGGTGTATCCATACAATGCAGCCATAAAATGGAGTGAAAAACCAACACATTCTACAACATAGATAAACCTTGAAAACATGCTCAGGGAAAGCAGCCAGTCACAAAAGGTCACATATTGTATGACTCCATTTATATGAAATGACTAGAATATTGTAGTTCATAGAGATAGAAAGCAGATTTGTGGTTCCTAAGAGTTGAGGGAAATCAGGGGTGACTGCTTAAAAAGCACAAGTTCTCTTTTTGAGGTGATAAAAATTTTGGAATACTTTTTAGAATGTTAACCTAAAATTAAAAGGCCTCTCAAACAGTTGAGATAAAAAAAGAATAGCTATTTGGAAATCATTGATTCAGGCATAAACCCAAGTAGTGTTCGCACTAGGAGAGAAAGGCAAGGAGTATTTATGAGAAAAGGGAGGGGAACAATTACATCAATAGAAGAAATGCATTTCTATTGGTACAGTTAGTTAAGCTACTATGGTGACACTAATTTTAAACAATGTTTTTAATTTTCAATCTGTAGCCATCGGTCCAGTAGTCATAATATCTGCTTTCTTATTGTCTTTGCAAACAGTCCTTTGGGACACAGTGATGCTTTAGGCCCAGGACTGTGTCCAACATTTTGAGTCAGGAAACAAACAAGATCGGGTCTGTCTTTTAAGGAGCTTACAAAGGATTTGAATTTTAAAAAGAAAAAGCTTAAATCCATATTATAATGGGCTATTTAGAGGAATGGGGGAGGCTGCTTTTCAAGGTAGCCTGCTACAAAAGATAAAATGCTTGGGTTCCTACTGACTTTAAAAACTGCCAACGTTCCATTCTCTAAACCCACCTCAGTTCAGAGCTCCGTGGGTTCTAGACCTCTGGGATGTCCCTGGTGACTTCCGCGACGGGTTGAAC